ACGAAAAACTAATCCTTTCATTTGTTCCTACGAAAGAGCAGGTTTGATTTAAAGTTCGTAATTGTGAATGTAGAATACAACTTGTAGCAGATAACAATGAGGTTCTATACGAATTAGTTTCTTAATGAATGGAGTTCGTCGGTATTCATATTTACGTAGAATATGATTTGCGGTTACCGATAATTAGAATCGTCGAGGAATTCCGTTGCAAAAAGGTCGCGAAAAGAAGTGTCGTTTGGCTGTGTTTCACGGTCCACGTCGTTCACCGCGAGGAAGATTACCAGGACAAAAGTTATTGGAGGGAATTTCAATTAAGGGAGTCTATTTACATTCGACTGAAGCGTTCGCGTGCCAAGTGACACGCGATAACACTTAAAAACTATTTCCTAGCGATTAATTCCCGGCAAACTTCCAATTTGGCACAACGATTCCGCTGTTGCTTCGTCGGAAAGGAATGTCTGACTGTTCAGTTCGCCTCGCTCGAACGGCGACAGAGAGAAGGGCAAAAAGCGAACCAAAGTGGGCATTTATCTTTCGTCGAAGTTGTTTCAACGTTATATTTAACTGAAATATTTTTAGTGAAATCCACAAGCGAACGTATCCACGTGAAATTCACCTGTACGCGTTCAAACGCGCGGTAACTTTGCACAAGTTGCTAGGAAAAATGTCGAGCACGTTCCATATTCCGTTTTATCCAAAAATACACACGTAGTCGAATATTATAAATTATAATTTAAATGTTTATCATTATTCTCAACTTCGATATTCATTTCCAGCGGAATCCTTGATAGATTTTATTTAATAACAACACTCTTGTGTCATTTTCAACAGAACTCATCGCAGTTACATTAATATATTTCTTTGGAAAGGAATCTGGAAATATTGATTAACGTAGCCGATAGAGTAAGATAATACAACTTTCCTAAGAAACTTGTGCATTTTTTCTGTTGCCAAAAATAATGGTATAACATTTAGATTCTTTTTTGTAACACGTGGTGCAAGACACAGCGTCGAAGCAGAGCGTCTCGTTGCAATTGATTAATTACGAGTATTTTGATATAGAAACGAAGAACGTACCGGTGGAAGCTCGAAGTTCGAAGAAGCGGCGTCTGCGAATTTTAAGTGGAAGACGAATAAATCATTTATTATCTGCAGCGTTGTTAGTAGTAAATGTCGCGACAGCGGTTTCTAAGGTTGATTTTTCAGGAACAAATGTAACCGAGAATTCGGGAGCGCGTTTTTGCGTAAGTTCGTGAGAAATCGAATCGAAAAGTCGCGCTTGACGAACCGCGGGGACGTATATACGTGAAGCGCACGAGATCATCGACGAACGCGAACGATGATCGTGCACGCGTTCCTCCCCTCCGTAAGAATGCACCTGAGATGACTTACCAATGATTCGATTATTAGTTTTAAACCCCTTTTGTACGTTTATATGCAGTTAAATGACGTGTATATAATTGTGTAAATTCAATGTTGTGAGATTAATCCGATTGTAATACCTACACACGAACCCTGTTAGCGGAAGGCATGTGCTTCGAATTATTATCCTTGAAATTTCGTGAGACGATTAAACGGTCCTTTCAAAATGCTCACTCCGCGGCACAGTCGACTTGCGATTTGATTAGACAGATAGTTCTTTTACAGAAATGTTCTGTGAACGATCCGGGATGAAGCTTTAACCCTTTGCGCTCGAGAGGTGACTCTCAGTCGTCACTTGATTTCGTACAAAACTATGAATATTTAGAAATCTAAATGAAACTTCGTATTGCTGAAATATTTAAGTAAAATGGCTTTGTTGCTTGATTTATCCGTGAATCGTTAAATTAGTTTCAAACGATGTCGTCTATGTCTCGTCGGAAAATGTTGAGTATTTCCAATGGAAAACTTTCGAGTGCGAAGGGTTAACAGTTTGTCTAAGGCAATCGATGAATGTTTGGAAAATGATTTGGAGAAGATATTAGTGGAATACGTTTGTTACGGAATTATTATTAAATGTATATTAAGAAATCTTGTAGGATTGATTTGAATGATTTTTTAGGGTCACAAGTCGACGGTGTCGGAGATGTGTTTTTATTACTTCCTCGTTGAATTGACAGATTCCCCGATTTTTATATTCAGCTTTGTACCATGTTATGTTACTTTGAGTTGCTATTTAATCCTTTGCACTTCAGAGGCGCCTGTCAGTCGCCATTTGGTTAGACACAGCAACAATAAGTTTGATGTTTAATATTAAACCCTCTATAATGCATTAACATATGCAACATTAAAATAAAATAATTTTGTTCCTGATTCTATGTGCGAACTTTCGTGAAGTTTCTGAAAAAGTCTTCTGTGTCTCATTAAAAAACGTTGAGTACTTGAACACTTTTGGAGTGCAAGCGGTTAATATTAATTCAGGTTTTCAAGCATAATCACTCGTATTTAAAAATAAAACGAATATAACGTTTAAAAGTTCGAGTTTCGTCTGTTGTGAAACTTTCAAATTGCTTTCTATTTAAGTTCGATCTCCATTTTGTTTTACATCCCACGTTTTGATGGATACTATGGAATTAAGGAACACGGAGCGTCAACAAATAGAAGAAAGATGTCTTTAAGTAAGTATTGTCCGAATGTTACAGGTAGAAACGAATTTTCTCACGTTAATTATTACATTATAGTTCTTAATTATAAAATCTAATCATATGAAACTTCACATTAAATTTATAATATCTATTATCTATTATAATCACAGACATAAACATTCTAAAATAAAACACTTTTCGTTCACACAGCTATCAATTCTACTCTACCCTAATTAATAAAACTTAATTGTCACAGCAAAGCAATAAAAATCGTAAAAAATCAACCCGATTGTTCATTTTCTCCCAAAATGTTTCTATATTAATTATTTAAAAAACGATCTACATAATTCACTGAACAAATGCACAGACTCTTTCAGAAAATCCTGCAGGTAGGTCAAAAGTCAATATTCCTCTGTGAAAACGATAGTCGAAGCCGCCTCTGAAATGAAAAATGGGACATGGACCGGGTTTTTCCTTTGCGAAGTCGTGTTATATCGTGTTGATACTGCATCAAATTCGATTGAACGAATATTTCGCTCATTTGCGCGTGCGCGGGAAATTTGAATAATAGGATAGGTAGATGTGCACGCGGCCCTCGTCGCACAGGTACGCCTTTTCACGGTTTCCCCGGTAGATGCCGCGTGAAAGCAAATGCGTTCGAAGACCGTGCTCCAGTTACGATTAAAGCAGAATAAAACCGAGGTACACATGACTTATTCCCGAATACACAATATCGTCGACGTAGGTGTATCAAATCCACAGAAAATCGAAACAATTGTTTTACTCGACGTTTACAAAAAATGTTTGAGTATTGTGCATGTATTGATTATCTAATGAAAATGGCGTGCTGTCGCCATCTGTGATAGACCTGTGAAACCGGTTGCAAATTTGAAGATACTATTTGGTTAGACGTTTGAGCGATCTTTTAGTAGGTGGCGCCATGGAGTTTGGAGAAGGAAGGATGAGGATAGATTTATAGGAGTGTGAAGGATGGAGAGATGACTTTGGTTGTGCCAACTAGTGGAGATGATGTATACTATTTGGTTAGACGTTTGAGCGTTCGTGTAATAGATGACGCTACCAATCTGGGATTGTGTCGTGTTCATTTAACCCTCTGTAGGCCCATGTAACTTTGAAATCACATATCGGTATATTGGTATCTTGTTGATTTATTTGATTTTGGCACTCAAAGTGAATAAAATTAAGTAATCAGTTAACTTTAACTTTTATACGCTTAACCGTGAGAGTTTAACGTCATAGCAGCTTGAAAGTTACAAAATATATTCGTTTGATGAAATTATTTAAACTATTGTAATGAACTGGTCTGGTAGATATGATATTATTTATCATATCTTAAGTCTGCAAGCTGTAACAAAATGTATTATATGATGATACTAGCGCAATTAATAACAACTATACGTTAATTGCTTTGTCCTAGAGGTATTAGATATCGATGAATTAGTTCGAATGTAATTAAATTCGTCACTTTTAATTACTGATGAGGTATCAAAACGTCTGCTCTTTTTATATAATCTGTCTTTCCGACTATCGGACGAGAAGGAAATGTTTAGTCTACCCTATCTCTCGTCGGTGGTTCTATTCTTCGTCAATGGGTAAATTAAAAAATACTAATTAACTATGTCGATAATTTCTGATGTACCTTAAATTGGTAAGATTGACTATTAACTTGTACGAATTTCCTCGGATGGCAGCACTAGTTATATTTGTAACTTATGCGACGGTAATGTAGATTGTAGATAAAGTAAATTTCTGTTTGTTATCAAAAAATGTTTAACTAAACACTTTAAAAATTCTTTTGTTAATATCCGTGATATTGATTTCGTAAATGGTCAGTTAGAAACTAGCCGTCATAATTTGGTGAACATTCACAGATTCTATTTAGTACCGTGACTGTTTTTAATTCGTTAATTATTCCTGCATTATTATACCTATATTAAATTCAGATGAATATTAACACATTGTACGCCGGGTAAATTTCAGCTGCTGGAAACGCGAGTGTCGATGATTGTATTGATATACTTTTAAACATAAATCAAATCGAAATTTGTGACTTACGAGAAAGAATTCCGATTTTGTAATTTTACTTTGGATTTATGTTATACATAATTAAAATGTCACGTTAATATAGGAGTAGTAATCGAGACTAAAAATCCCGCAATTACGCGACATCGGTGTATAGCGTATTAACAAGCTTCCCTGGAATTAATTAAATTGGACGTACACGCGTCACTAAAGATTGAATTACGAATAATTATAGAACTCAAAGCAACGTAACACAATGATAGAAATAACTTGCAGCGTTGATTTACCTCTAAAGGATACAGGAAATAAGTTCCACAGAACAAATGTCTGTCCTTCTTTATTAACAAGCTGAATTAACATACCTTCGGAAAGTTTGACACTTTGACACGACATTCGATTTTATTATTTACGCTCCACACTCCCCACGTTAACCATAATGGACGATGATTAATTCATCGAGCTTCGTCCACGGATACTTAATACGAGGATATGATACATAAATGTCTAAAGTCCCACGATTCCCATGTACTTACAAGTATTCTGCTCGTAGCCGCAGCTGTACACTGTCGAACGAGCTTCCTATACATCACACGCGATCATTCACACAGACGTCTCTCATCCGAGCAAACAAGACGAAACAAAAAGTTTCCCCAATTTCTCACCCCATTCTTTTCTAACTAACGATCACGTATCTCGATCGTGACCGGAGGACTGACTAGAAATCGAGCACGATCGTTGTACGCGTTCTTAACTCTGCTGCGCTCCTCGATTTATAGAATTAAAACAGTGTAAGAACACGTTGACTAGCAACAAGTATCTTGCAACATTCCTAGATTCAAGTCGCGGTAGCGATTATCGTTAAAATCATTTAAATGCTAATTGCATTTAATCCGCAAGAATTAATTGTCAATCGTGAACAGTGTCAGGCGAAATGATTGCAGTTACAGTTAACAATTAACAGTTAAAATAATTGTAAAGTTAACCATAACTTCAATTAACATGGTCACCTGATTGTTAATTGTTAATCCAGTTAATGTTCGCCAGACGTTGACACGATTACAATGAAAATTAATAACATTACCAGAAAGAAGTGCGAACATGTTCGCTCGAAAATATCACAACTAGACCCAAAGGACGCAGCAGGATTAAATAAACATTTAGATTCGACATTCCCGGAAGCTGTCCATCGCGTTCTGTACAGATTTCGCAAACCGTTGGTTCGCGAGAGGGCATACTCTGCTCGGAATTTCCAAAATCTGTACCCTTTGTCCGCACGCTCGAGGATCCTCGACTCGTCGTCAACTGGTAAATCGTAACGTCGTCTCGCAATAGCGAGCAAAGAGTGGAAACGATCAAATTGTTTACAAATTCAAGTAACGCTGGAAGAACTTTCTCGCGTCTCTGTAAATGTTAACGGTACAGGAACTTCGGAGATCGAAGACGTGATATCACACTTTCGTGAGGGTTTCAAACGAAGCTGATTTGGCAGTCTGTTTGGTCAACATGAAATGATAGTGTAAACGGTAGGGTTCGGATCAGCGGCATCGAGTCGAACAGTCAACAGCTTTCACTCTGAAAATCAATCGAAAGTTACAGAGGACACCCTTTATCGTTAATCCGAGGCGAAAGCGACGCGCTAATCCGAGCCGTATAGAATTCACAGTCAAGTTCGGCGCAGGTATCATCCACAATGTCTTGCCACGTCGCGGTGAAGTTGTCATGGATGATTCCCATCGTTCAACGAACGGGCGTATTATTTCGAATCCTAAAATACGCAGCGGAGTCGATTAAAAAATGGAAAACTGTACGATATGAAAAGTGGAACATTAAGAGGAATTGCCGTTGAGCGAGTCTTTCGTTCTCTTTCCTCGAGAAGATAGACGAAGTATGCCCTCGTTCTCGAATACTGAAACCGGTGGTTCGTTTCGGTTATTACAATAATTAAGGGGCAATAGCCCCGAAGTAGTCCCGGCGAATCGTGAATTCGGTTTGATAGAGAAACCGTAGATATAGCTAACGCATCGCCGTGTACTCTGTATTAATTCAACAGAAATTAATATTAATGATTGCACGTCGAATTGAAAAACTGTTCTACTGTTGTCGATGGTTTACTCGAGAAATGAAACGAATATTTATAATCGATAGCGCGGTAACGATGAGAACATGTTATTAATAGTAAAATAAGTCTTATAATAAAGTGAATGAGATCAGCCTCGATATCTCGTTTCAAGAGGGATTCGCTGGGACTAGAACTTTACACGATACTGGCGCATTGAAGTCCCATGTCAGTCTGTGTAACGAAGAATCAATAGATATTTTCTAGATCGTCAATCGTGGAATGAAATCCGATCGACGCGAGTTCTTCCATCGTAGAGCGACATTCCTCCTTTCGCTGGCCCGCACATCGGGAAAAACGAATCGACGCTTCGAAAGTTCGTTATCGAATTTTAGAAAAAAGCTCCGATTGCAAGGACCGCGAAAGGTTGCACGTTTCGTTATTTATAATTAGCTATGTTACAAAACGGTCCGCCATCGCGCGGACGACGTGGCCCTTAACGTTAGGTATCTTTGGCGGTAATTGATGACCGAGGTCGCTTGCACAGCGATTTAATTATCCATCCTCTAAATACGTCGCTTACATGTGTAGGTATATATACATCTTAGAAGCTAGTATCTGTCCCGATCACACGATTCTTCATTTCGGATCGCAACTGCGCGAATCGACGCGCTGAATGAACGATTAACCAATTTGCATCACGTGTTAGAACGAAGGCTACTCTATTATTGCCAAATTATTACCTTCATCGTTACACTGGAATGGTTAAACCATGGAAATACGTGTATGAATCGTAATATAAAACAACAACGATGAAGTGAATAATAAGAATAGAAAATAAATATTAAAATCGCGAACAATGCAAACAATTCAAACGATACATGAAACAAACAGTCACATCCAACGAAACGAACATCGAAACGCACAGTCGCGTCCTGTTAATGCCGATAATCATAGGAATATTGTATACAATTGGCCCTCTGTCTCGAGCAGAAGTCTCGTCGGCCATTTTGTCGGGTAGCAGCGCCTTCGGCGCGAATGGCGGGAGAAGACTTCGCGGGAACGAAGTGTCCCCGTTAATGGATACGATTCTTGATCGCGCGGAGGAGAATGAAATGGAAAACCCGAACGTTCGTCAATGAAATTCAAACGGTCGTTTCGCGATTAATAACGGCGCGACACACGATACGCGGGATCTACGCTATACAATGAACGATTATATTCGAGTGTAATTCATTATTCGTCGCTAAATTGACTTGTTTCCTAACGCGTCAGGTCGGTGTTCCGATCTTTTTGGAAGTGTCCAGGTCGGCCCTCTTTCTTCCGTTTAGGAGTATCCCAAAAGATCGTGGAATTCCTCACGAGCGGCCGCCGTAAGTAAGTTACTTTCATTCGCGGTAAAATTGGTCGTACTCGGAGCAACGCAAAATGGCGGCGCCCGACGTAACGGCAGTATTAGGTGCAGACTTATTTCGTTTCGTTTCCCTCTCGAATGTTTTTCCAACGAATTCGCGGTCGTTTCAGCATGCCAAGCTTCTTCCAGCGTGATCGGTCATCGTTGTTGATCGGCTTTTTACACTGGTCGAACCCTTGCGAATAATACCGAGTACTTTTGACAGTGGCTCCGAGCCGCTCGGCCAGTTACAGACAGTCTTTCCCATTCACGTTTCCCGAATCCTTCCGCTAGAATTCTTTAAGTCCCGATCATACGTGAATAGTGAACTCTTGCCTCTCTTGCTCCTTCCTTTGCTGGTACCTGGAACGAAGCGTAAACGGTTCGTTAATGATTGCAATCGACAACTGTGTCAACGATCGTGTACACTTACTAGTAACTGTCTAAATGAATCGATTAGACAATGGGGATATATACAAACAGTCAAAACGAACAACGATTTCAATCAGCAATGATCGCGATACGATTATTCGTCGATGAGATGAGCGGATTGGAAAGAAGTTACGTGTTCTAATAAGCTGCTACTGAGACGTGTGTCCACTTTCTCTATGATCCTTAGTGATTCGCTGGTTTACTAGTAAGTGTGAGACATCGAACTCTATTTCCATTAGACTAACGGTAAGTGGTATCTTAGTTTCTTGTAAAGGATGTGGTAAGCAACTAAGTACGAAATTCGGTGCTACTTATAGAGACGGATACATTTGTTACAGTTTGATCTAAGAATTTTGGGACAATTATGGATACAATTCTTCAGTAATGAAACTACTGAACGTGCAATTCTTTCATTCACAGTAACAAATACTATTGAAACGATTATCTCGATTGAAGTATTTTCCAATTGAACATTATCGAATTCGTTCTAGAAATTCGTTTGCTTTCTCACTTAAGTCACGACGAATCGAACGCCTGCCGTAACCGAATTTTCGGACCGTGTTCAAATGCAAGCGTCTCCGTAAGCGTAAAATAATGAAACTCAACGTGTCAGCTTACTACGATCTACGGAGGTTCGTGTCGATACCTAGCGAGCATAGATTCGACGGCCTCGATCGGCAGTCTGCCCAAGCTGCCGCCGTGGCGGGTCCCGGCTGACAGACCTTGCCATTCGCGATCACGATCACGATTACGATCACGGTCACGGTCACGGTCGCATTCTACGTCGCTCAATTCGCGGCTGTCGCTAAACCCGCTTGGCGGCAACAACGTCATGTCCTCCACCGAACTAAATGCAAAATAGACCAGAGAGATACGTCTTAGGAAAAACAGTGATGGATTAATTGGCGGGCGAACAAATCACGATTCGCAGGATTGACCCTCGTAAATACACGTGCCTCGGACCCGATCGAATTCACAAAATCAACTTGAACCGACTTCTTCCAGGCTGTACCTTGTCGCTGCTGAATACGAGTATGATGAGTTATAATATTATAATAAATTATGAAACCCATGTGTTCGTAACACCGAATGAGAAATCATGGATTTTATATTCCTTAACACTAGAACTACCGAACAGTCGAATTGACTTTCCGAAATTTTTCTATGGAAACTGTTAGTGGTATTATTGGAATTTCTAGGCATTCACAATTCAGTTTGCCTATCGCTAAATCAACTTCTACAGTAATTTTTCCGAGAATTATCTGTTATCTTTGTAACAATTGTGAAGAAAAGGAATGGGTCATTTTGAACTCTGTGGTAGTTCTAGTGTTAATTCACAGTATGGAAACTATTGAAACGGTTATAGTAATTTAGATATTTTATAAGTAGTTTATAATAAATTATAATATTATAATAAATTATGAACTCCATGTGTTTGTAATACCAAATGTGTAGGAACGATGCATTTTACGTTCCTCAGTTTACAGTAACGAAACTATTAAAATCATTGTTGTGATTGAAATATTTTTCTAAATTTTTCACAAGAAATCACAATATCATAATAGATTATGCTAAATCAATGTCCACAGTATAATATGCATTGACGACTTGTTCGACGGTAATATTTTACGTTTACACAATATTCACGAGTATAGTCACAAACATATATTTCACGAAGATTACATCGAGTCCCTGGTTTCCTCTTCGAATTTCACGTTCGTTTCGAGTGACAAGGGTTAACAGTGAAATCGGTTCAAATTTAATCTTCGTTCGTCCACTTCCCGCGAGAGAAGTGTATTGAGCCGGTCGAATTTGGTACAGTTCGCGGACGAAGTATCTTGGTAACGGAAAAAGGTAGTTCCTCTGGTTGGTGCAGAAGCAGAAGGTCAACGTATGAAATCAGAAATAAAATATACAAAAACGATATGGTAAATTATACTGCGACAAATTCAGCGTGGGGAACAAGATTCTTTTACGATTGCTCTTAGGATACGAGTGTTTCAAACGATTATCAAAAGTGCTGCGCAAGATACGGGGTACATGTACAGACTTTGGAAGTGAAGTTTCGTGTGGGGTTCGAAGAAGCGAGGAGACCGAAGTCCTTTCGTTTTCCCAGAGTCTACGTTTTTCCATTGTATTCACTGTACGCCGGCACGGGACCGATCAGACCGTGATGAAACACGAATACCGAACATAACCAGGACTGAGTGCTATGTGGAAACAAACAAACCTTGGCTACCTGCGAGTGGACCGGCTCGGCTGTCGGCTTCGTCGTCTCGCAAGCGAGGGTGAACCTTCGTTGTTTGACTCTGTACTCGACTCCACTCCTCGTGAGAACACATCTGCGACAAATTTTCGTTCAATCATTCGTTACCGTAAATCATTCGCCAAATGAACGAAATGTCCAAACTATAGAGGCTATAATTGTGCTAACGGACTAATCAAATCTAAATTCAACTGATGAAACTATAGGAGAAGTTTGTAGATAATATCGTTCAACACAAACATTCGAGAGAAATTTATGAAATTGCTAATGATTGAAATGTAATTATTAGCACTAACCATACCGGCAAATATCTAGTTACGAAACAGAGGTAAGCAAATTAGATAAATGTTTTTAGTGAGAACAGAAACGAAAGGAAGAATGAAAATTGGGGAACTGATTAATCGGACAATATAGGAATTGATATTAAATTAACACGTTAAGCGACTCGCAAAGCGTTTTCTCGTAGTTTTTCTTCTGTAGCGAAGAAAATCAGGAAAAATTATTCATTGTTTGATGTTACAACGTTCGCATTACACTATTATCAACTTAGTTACGTTGTTGAACATTTTCGTTTCACATCGGTTATCCTGTACGTTACGATTGTTTTCTAGTCATTCAAAAGCGTCAGTCACCAGTGACTGACATGGAGCTTAACGTGTTAATTGAGCAAAAGAAAACGAAGAATTTTAAATCCAGTCGGTTAGTGCTAGAATGATGATTTGAAATATATTATCAAATAGTAATGTCCATTCTCAATTTTGGATCACCGAAGTCTTTAACCCTTCGCGCTCGAGAGGTGACTCTCAGTTATCATTTGATTTGATACAACAAAATTACAAAGTGTTATATACTATATTAAGTTTCATAGAATGCATCAATATGTGAAATATTGAAAGAAAATAGCTTTGTTTCTTAATTTAGGTATGTTTTCTCATTACTTCGTTTCAAATAGTGTCGTCTACGTCTCATCGGAAAGTGTCGGAAGTTTCTAGTGGAACGCTTCCGAGCGCAAAGGGTTAACTATCGACAGCAAAATAGTTTCAATAGAAATTTCAACATGTCTTAAGGGAAATTGATAGTCACCTCTGCAGGGCTTCACAGGCACCCTGTAACTAGGTCCTGCGCACTCTCCGCAAGGACTGCCGGAAGTGTCGCTGCCGGAGCCCTGCCGGCTGGACCGCAGCTTGCTTTCGGCCTCCGCGATGCTCGGGAAGTATCGTTGCTTGTGCCACCTTGAGGTTTTGGACCTGCATGTGAAAGGACACCAGAAAGGGGAAGAGAAAGGGGTTCAGGAGCGAAATTCAAGGTGCTCCGTGTTCACTGGACGCTAGTGTTGTAAAAATCAGCTTCGAGCCTGCGCCCTTCGGCGCTTGAGCCTTGAGCTTTAAAAGCTGAAGTTCGAAAGCTTTGAAAACTAGAAGTGAACCTTGAGGGCATTCGTGGCTCGAGTCTTTAAGTTGGAAGATTTCTCTGTATTGGTCTGTTGGTGTATTAAAAGCTGAAGTCCAGGAAATTTGAAATGTCTCGAAGACTGAACTTTAAGGCTCCGGGGCTTTAGGAGCTTCGGGTGTCTTACTTGATTCTTTTAAAGCTTTTCTTAATGCTTCTAGCTTTGGGAGTTTTACAACACTACTGGACGCGGAAACTAAATAAAATTTATGAAGCTATGATAATGTAAGATCACAGAAATGTATATGAAATTATGTGAAATTGTATGAAACTGTATAGAAGAATATAAAGCTGTATAAAATTATATAAAGCTATATCAAACTATATAAAACTCTATAAAACCATATAAAATTATATAAAGCTATATCAAACTATATCAAACTATGTCAAACTATATCAAACTATATCAAACCATATAAAAAGCTTTCGGGCACAGAGAGAATCGGAAGAAAACCTTGTTACCTCTCGAAATCCACGCTGGATCGCTCATAGTCGATGGTGTTGATGTCTTCGTTCTCCAAATGTCCGAACGTCTTGAACTGCATAGTGTAATCGAGCGTCGCCGTCGTCACTGACCGATTTTCTCGTCCGGGAACGCTGAACGTGGCGTACGGGCTTATCTCGTACATTTCTGCGAAAGAAAATGGCCGGCTATACTTACCTTTCACAACGGATATCAAAACTACGTCTAAAAAGGTTCTACATCCTATTATTTACTAAAAGAAAATTATAATCGAAATCTTAATAGCCAGACTTTCATCCTTCAGTTTTTTAGAAGAATTAGCTTGTTGTGATGAAGTAAATGTACTATTTTTAAATAACCGATTAATATAAAGAATAGAGAAAGGTTGATTTAAAACGTTCACGCACCTGACCCATGGTCATTCGACTTATGGTTCTCCTGTTTCACCGGCGAACTGGTGTAAACCTGATGATTCCTCCTATTATCACGCTCCGCGGTAGACTTCAGCTGCACGGTGGACATGCAGCTGGATAAATGATGATGTTGTTGATGTTGCTGCTGTTGAACCAGTCCCAATCCTGTCTGTTGATTCTGCTGTTGTCCGGGAAGGATCTCGCCTAAATAGTTTGCCCTGTGAGCATGAGGAAATAAATATGAATCGACCGAGAATTCTTGAAATCCTAATTTTAATCAAACTCTGATAAGCACATGAAAGAAACGACCTTCTTCTATAAACAACACGAATCTTACAATATAATAAAACGAAGTTCAAAAGAAAACCAAATGAACCTCAGTCTTTAGCAAATATATATGTCAATTTTAGTTTACGTAATTACACAAATATCCTAGTAGTCTACTTTTAACACGTCGAATGCTATGGGGGTCACCGGTGACCAATCAAATAGAATTACTATAGATCATTCAAACGACGATTATTTGAAAACATTTCTATATTAAAAATAATGCCACCTAATGCGGTGCGATTCTGCTAGATCAACGTGCAATAATAATAGTGCAATTCAAACAAATGGACTTAATATTATATTTTTCCATTCTATGTTTCATTTCCTTTGACTTTGTTAACTGTGGAGACCTTATTTGAAATGATTGAGAGCCTGATGTTTGGGAGTTGTTTTTTTAAACGAGCAACTAAGAAGTTGGTTCATGTTATTTATAACCTAATTTAGCTTTTCTAACTACAGAGAGTTGATTTTCATTGACCTTTTCAAGATGAAAACGAATATCAATTTTTCAAGAAACAATGGAATAAAATACAATAAACGTCTGCAGACCTAGAGTTAGAGTCAACAGTTTCGAGCTGAGAGTTGCCTCTCAATTTCCCGTTACCTTCCGCTGCGTTTCAACATCACGTATCCCAAAATGACGGAGGAGATGACGAGTACAATGGCGCAGACTAGGGGCACGACGACGTAGAGGACTCTTTGATTCGGCACAGTCTTCTTCACGTCGTCCTCCATGATCAGATCGTTCGGAGGACCTATGCTGACGCCACTCAGCGTGGTCGTGGCGAATTCCATTTGCGTTTGCGTCGATCCGGCGTCGTTGTGGGCCGTCAGGCGCAGGCTGTACCACGAGGCGGTTTTTAGGTCGCGTATAATCAGGTTCTCCGTGGCGCGGCTCGCCACGAGGATCCACGGCTCTGTGCTGACTCGTCTTCTGTATTCGACCGTGTAGTATTGAATGGGACAGCCGCCGTTGGGCCAGGACAACAGGTTCAGCTTGACGGATGTGCCGTTAGCGGAGATCACGTCGCGATCCTTCGGCACTAAAGGAGCTGCGAATTAATATGAAGTTTTAGAGAAATTGTAATTGAAGATTAAAGATTGCAGAACGACGAAAATATTCTTTGAAACGGTTTTATATTATTTAGTTTACTATTGTTAATTGTTTGCTTTACTTATATTAATCGATTGGTTAATTCGTCTTAACCATTTGCACTCGAGAGGCGACTCTCAGTCACCACTTGGTTTGATACAGCAAAACTATGAAATTGAATGTTTATTCTGAATCAAATTTTGTATTGTAGAAATATTTAAATAAAATAGCTTCGTTGTATATATATCGTCGGAAAATGTTGAATATTTCCAATGGAAAACTTTCGAGTGTTATCGTCGTCGCATGTTTCAAGAAATTTTATTTTATTGTAGCTTATGATTCAGTTGAACTCTTTTATTTTAACGTTATTTTTGTTGATAGCTTCGGGTAATTTTATTTTCTTGTTACTGTTAGTGTTGCGTGTAGAGTTTGATGGGATTTGTTGTTTCAAGAACATCTTCGTTTACGTGCTCAATTCTCTGTATACGAATAGATGATTCAGTAAGGCAGAGAATGTAAATTACCGGTTCCTTTGGTCGTCGCGCTTATCAGGGGACTCGGGTCTCCGGTGCCCACGCGATTGTGCGCAGTTAAGTGGGTCAGATAGGAAGAACCACATTTTAACCCGGATAAAATGAACTCCGTCTGCTCCGGCGACAACGCGATTTCCTCCCAGCCACCTTGGTCCCTTTTGTAACTTAACACGTACCCTAGTGAAAGCCACGAAGATTCTATTAATTGCTGCTCCGTGATGCGGGAATTTGAAAATAGAATTTATCGTTAAAAGTAATATACAGAAATACCGTTCCTCGGCAACTTTATTGTGAAGTACCGGAAAGAAACGGTGAATCACTCATGAGTAAATATAATATTTATTGTTCGTTCATTCGTGACGACTAAATTCTTGAAAATGTACTACCTAATACTTATTATTTATTCATATTTGATAACTAAATTTTTGAAAATGTACAAATCTAATACTCATTATTTATTCATATTTGATAACTAAATTTTTGAAAATTTATAAATTCTGATACTCCTTATTACTTTATTTTTGACGTCTATACATTTGGAAACCTACAAATCCAATATTTATTATTTATTCACTTGTGACATCTGCATTTATACGAATGAAAATTGACATTTCAATCACGTGCCTTGAATGGTAGCGCCACCATTATTAGGATGATTCCATCGAAGTCTTATGCTATTTGTTGTAGTATACTGCAGCTCTAGCGTGGGTGCTCTAGGCGGCATCACCACGACCACCGTGTAAGTAATAGAATCGTCGCCGAACAGATTGCTGGCTGAACACGTGTAATTTCCCGCCACCGATTGTTCTAACCCTAAACAATTAGTTTACATTCCTTCGTCAATGATCACGAGTTGTTAACTAATAGCATTGAGTTAATCGATTATGCTTCTAAGTTTCTAAGCTCGTTAGACATATAAACTATCATAAAATTATTAATCAGAGACCAAAATACGAGACGTACCGCGTATGTTAAGATGGCCGTCGGCGGTCAATTCATAATGGCGGCCGGTAGAGACTTGGCCATTGCGAAACGTCCATATTGGCCGCGGCGTGGGGTTCCCAACAACCAGACACGATAACGTGATCGATGATTTGATCGCTCTTCTCAACAATTGCGAAAACGACGCCACTCTGGCTGGAGCTTTTTCAAATAATCGGAAAATTCTTAATCTAATCACAAGAAGACAGCAGTGGACAATAATTGCTCGACTGAAAATATACCTCTGGTGTTCGTAGTTTGCGTGACTATGGTGGTCGCCTCTCCCTCGCCTAGTCCAGTGGTCGCAGACACCCAGAACTCGTACAGTTGTCTGACAAAACAAGATCCTCCACTCAAATATTTATTATTATAACACATTTCCAATTGTAATATGTAAACAAGTGAATATAATATTTTCTAAACATATCACTAACCTAATTCTAACATAATCAACGTTCGAACTGATACGAACAATTGTAAACATTAAATTCGCTTTCCAAATGAATTTAATTGAATTCACTACCCCCTCAATTATTCAATTTTGTTTTACTGAATTATTCAATTTCAAACACGCTAATATTATTACCGTCATCTTAACACACTGTATGCCGGCTAAATTTCAGTTAAAAACGCGAGCTTCGGTGATTATATTGATATATTTTTAAAACTAGAACTACCGGGAGGATTAAAATGATCCATTCCTGATCTCATTTTTTCCAGTTATTCAACAGATAACAGATGCTTCTCTGAAAAAGTAGAGAAACTGGTTTAGCAATGCACAAACTGAATTGCAAACCAATTGAAGTCTCAATAATTTAGTATATTGTAACATTAGCAGTTGAACAATATACTAAAAACCCCGCAACGTGTTAATGAAAATATGCGTAACAGCCATCTTTTGCCAGCATAATCCAAATCGAACGATTATCGGCTACATTCGCAACAATAAAAACAAGAATCCTTCGAATTACCTTTCCACCAAGCCCCTGAGCTCCATAGTTAGGGTATCGGTGGGCGACGACGGTGGTTCGTGCATGGTGTGCGTGTTGTGGTTGCTGGAGCCGGCCTCTCTGCTGTAAACCGTGTACTTGGAGACGTTCCCGTTCGGCTGCAGCGGCGGTAGCCACGAGACCAATATGCTCTCCGCCGTTAATGCTAAGGCTTTGATGCTAGCCGGTGGGCCGGGTACTAAAATAAATGAAGAAAAAAAACAGTTTCCCCCATAATATCCGTCGAAGAAGATTTTAACGTTGATTGGATTCGATTAATGGAATCGTACCGTCTTCCTCTGTCGTGCAGAAAATCGGCGGGCTCAGAACTCCGTCTCCCGCGCCGGTGTAAGCCAACACTCTGATCGAGTAATTCGTGTACTTGTACAAGGTGTGCAGATAAGTTTCCACGCTGGAGGTTTTCTTCACTTCGCCGACCGTGGAGATGTCCACTGGAACCGTTCGAACCACACGTTAGAACTGTTTCATTGTAATCTTACTGATTACTATTATTTATTTATTTCATTAAAGAATTCCCTTGTTCTACAATATCGTATGAGACTCGTGACGAAGATTCCGACTAGAATTAGTTCAACTTCAATATTACTTTTCTATTATTAATTGTAATGCTTCAGAGTAAACGTATACGTGGAATAAGCGTAGAATTTGTTGCTTTCCTGATGAATTATTAATTGTAAAATAATCCCACGAAAGAGATCACTGTGCAAAGGGTTAACCATCTGAGAGTCATAGATCTATCGAAAAATCGAAAAACGCTAAGTGCCGCGGTCGCGCTTCCTTCGTTTCAGTTCAGAAACTGAACTATGCTGTTCTGTTTTTATGAAAAGATTCTAGTGCGACCGTTCTACATTTCCATTTATAAGCAAGCAATAACGAAAATAAACATAAATAATTATAAGGGAGATGAACAGATAAAATTCATTTGATTCTATGGACCGATAGGCTGGCACTTTTAGCTAGTAAACGGTTAATATAAATTAATTGTAATTCTTTTAAATAGAATTATATGCTTCGTCCAGAGTGCATTTTTACTCACTGTTGTCGGTGAGCACTGGTCTGTAGTACACTTTGTAGCCCTGAATGATCCCGCCATGTTGATGAAGCGGAGGAGCGCTCCAGGAGACCTTCACGCTTTGGGAGGACAGGGGGATGCAGGCCACGTGCGTGGGAGGAGTCTCTGGCACTGAAATGATCGATGTAAGAATGTTCATAGATATTTCAGGATTGATGATTGAAATGTTGCTTTTATTAACCCTAATCGTACCACGATGTGACTCTCAGTCACTTGTGAGAATAAAAGGAACAATGTTATTGTTCTCGTTCATAGGGTTCAAATTTTAAAAGGCCAAGAAAACTTTTGGAAATGCGGTATGAAATAATGAGAAAATTTAAGTAAAACGTTCAAATGTCACTCAAAGTCACATCGTCCGATTAGAGTTAATGAATCAACATTGACAGCTATTTATGGATTCTGTATATAAAACTGTAATAAAACGGAAAACATATCAAAAGTGACGATCTTCTACTGTAGATTAAATGAAAGTGGTTTATTACTCTAATATAAGACCAACAGTGTTATTCATCGAAGGAAATGAAATTAACGGGATTAATCAATTTCCAAATTCTCCAATCACGAAAGGTGTAAAAAAGAATTACAATGAAAGCATTGTAGTCGATGAAAGTTATTGTTATATTAATGATTAATAATTTATATGCTTATGATTATTAATTCTATTCATTTGTCGATGTTTTCGTACCTCCTTCTTGCGTTGTCCCGACAATCGGGACGCTGGCCGGGCCACTGGCTATGCTGTTGAAAGCTCTGATCGATATATCGTACTTGGTGAACTTCCTGAGGCCGGTGAGTTGCACCTTCGTGGTCGCCCATCCGTTCACGGTTAAACTTTTGCTTTGGTTCACGCCCGACGTCGAAGATGAATGCTCCGACCACCTCACTATGTAGCCTAATAAATCCCCGTTGCTGGACTCTTTCGGCGGCGGCTGTGAACGGGACGCATCAATGATTCAGAATTCCCCAGCATCATGTTTCCATTTATTATTCAATGTTACAATTCAGCTCAGTCGTATCGATGAACGTGATACGTGAGACTAATTTGTGAGTTTTCTTATAATTAAAGAAAATCGAAGGGTCAATCATACTCTTCATAATAAGGCAATAAAGCTAATAATAAAATATCTAACGGAACGTTTATTGGGAAATTTCATTTTCAATGTTCAATATTCAATGTTGAATCGTGGAATATTTTGAAAACAATTATTCTGCAAACTATTTATCTTTAAATTCTTTTGGTACTGTACGACTTAATTATCTTACATTCAATTCTTTCTTTTCGAACTGTGCAACTTACTTATCTTATGCTCAATTCTTTCTTTCGAAACACTGCGATTTGTTTCTCTTATATCTAATTCTTCCTTTCGAAACAGTGCAGCTCATTTATCTTCCATTCAATTCCTTCTTTTCGAACTGTGCGACTTATTTATCTTATGCTCAATTCTTCCTTTTCAAACACTGCGGCTTGTTTCTCTTGTACTCAATTATTCCTTTCGAAACAGCGCACATCCTCTATTCAATTTTTTCATTCAAACCAGTACAATTTATTTATCTCATACTCAATTCCTTCCGTTGAGACAGTGTAATTTATTTCCCTCACGTTCAATTCTTTCTGTCGAAACAGTGTAATTTATTTCCCTCGCGTTCAATTCTCTCTGTTGAAACACTGCGATCTATTATTATTTTCCCCCAATACCTTTACGAATTTCCGTTACGTAAATTGATGCCGTCGGAGGATATTCCTTACCTGCCAGCTAACCATCAGCTCTCCAGGCCCGGCGGACTGCACCTTGATATTTTGAGGAGGTTCGGTCGGCGCTGTTACACGGGAGAGAATCTCATTAAATATAACAAGATACACTTCGGGGCTCTCGATAACGTTATAAGCCCGGCCGAGAGGTCGTACAAAGACAGAAATGCATTTCTTTACCTTCCTCCTGGGTCTTCGCCACCACGGCGTCCGTCGGCGCGCTCACGTCTATCGAATTTATGGCGAATATGCGAAACGTGTAAGTCACGGCGGGGTGGAGCCCGCCCACCAAAGCCACTTCCTGGTCCTCGCTGGACGACTCGAACGGGGACAGGCCTTCGAAAGCGAACAAAAATGTTTTCTCAGAGATTAATCCTTTGCACTCGAAAGGCGCCTCTCAGTCACCACTCGACCGGTGCATCGAAATTGCAAAATTTCCTATTTAACTCTTTGCACTCGAAGCTGTTTCTCGCTGACATTACCAGCAACTCGAAGTAATTTTAATAGAAATTTTAATAGAAAAAATTAAAACATACTATTCTTTTCACAGAAATACAATACGAAGCACAGTATAATATAAAAAATTCTCTCTACTCTTCGAAGTTCTATTCATACATGAGTCGCTCAGAAACCAACGCAGTTAAATCCAGAAGACAAAACTTGTGAAAATTAATATCCCCTAACATATTTCTTTCCAAAATGTTTCTCGTCAATGTGATCAGTACAGTCCTTCTCCAAAGTGTAAGCTCCGTGACACACTCATTCCACAACAATGTACAAAACTCAGAAAACATGAAAAACTCGGCGTAACCGCATCGAACAACTCGTGCATCACACTTACGTGAAAAATGGAACAAACAGAGCAAAATAAACCCTCCGTTATTCTGTGCGTCCTCCAGTGACACGGTACAAAGGCAAAACAACGTGCATCCATTACGTGCTAATGAAACGAAACTTTTGGTACAAGCTAATACGATAAACGAAATGTACCGCGATGAGAGACGTTCCATACCTCTGTTCAACGCAAATGGGTTAATCTATCATAATAGAACGAACGAAGCCGTATGAAACAGACGGTTCCCGTCGGCTGTGCACGTATGAGCGTACTCGGGCGATCAAAGAGCGCATGATTAAATATGGTTACGCACCGTTCTGCGTCGGATGGATCGCATTCCCGGCGACCGAGGTGCCCGGCGTGTATGTGACATTGTGCGTTTTCGCCGGGTTCCAATCGTCCGTCAAACCGTGATTCAGGGAACGATACTGAATAACGTAATTCCGTATCGGGCTGTTCCCGTCAAAGGCTCTTTTCCACAGCAATCGTATCGATCGCGAGCCGATTTCTATGACCTCCAGCGAGGCGGGCGGATCCGGTCGCTCTGAAAATTCACAAAAACCGGAGCATAGTGGAGGCCCTTCGACTCTCCTCGTTCAACGGGAATACGTGTTTACAGGCATCGGTTTATCTAGGGAACGTTGAATAATCTTATTCGGACGGGGACCAGTGTCCGTCGACACCGATCCACCGGTTTAAATAACGACCGCCGCTCGGCTGCCATCGACAGGGCCAGTTTCTGAGAAAGAGGTTCACGGGTTTAATCGAGGCTTCGACTGGTTCGATTGCATTTCCGTTGGACGCAACGTCCACTGTCGAAGATCGATTCTATCGACGGCTTTACACCGGTGAATCGATATTGTTACACTGTTGTTTCAGGTTCTTCCGATGGGTTTGTGTAGATTTTCTAGGTCTTCGGGGAATGAGTCGAATATTGATGTACGAAGGCTTCGAAGGATATCCTTGTTACAGATATTATGTCGCTAAGTGGAAGCATGTGGAATAAAAAGATTTATCTTATATTTAATTCGATTCGATGAAAACGTTCGACTCGGTTTCCTCAAGCTAGCAGATTAACATTAGAATCATCAAATTTAATACAACTAATAATTCATATCAAACTTATATAATATTCAAGCTGTTTAAACTATTTACGAACTGTTTCCCTCTAAACTCGTTTCGAACGCGCAACATTTCCAAAACACCGATAATTGCGAAATAAGAAACTCTTATACCGTAGCGCACGTGGAGTCAAAGATATTATTCTTATCGCGTCGAAAGGACATTCGAAAAACGTCGAAATTCCCGAGTGAAAGACGAATGATGTTCCCGTCTGCGTCGGCAATGGAAAAGAGGCAATACCTTGAACGGCCAGATAAATCACGTGCTCGCTCCTCCCGTAAGCGTTGTCGGCGGTGCACCGATAGACGCCGGAGTCCTGGCGGTCGCTGCTGCCGATAGATAATTGGGACTTGAGCCCGGTGTCGGTCTTAATCTGCCTTATGCTCAGCCGATGGCTGTTGGCGTCCAGCCGGTCGCTGTTGTGCAGCCATTGCACTTTGATAGGGTTGTCGCCGATCACGGTGCAGTCCAGAGTCACCGACTCGCCGCGCCGGATCGTCACGTTTTTGCTTTGGAACTCGAATCTCGCTGGTTCTGGAAAGATCGCCGAGGAGAACGATGACAGGGGAGGGACAACAAAAAACGGAACGCCGCCGCAGATTTAACTTTAGCTAAATTCCCGCCCGGAAAGCTGCCCGATTCGCGACAGTTTTAATCTCGCCCGGTGAAGTTTCATTCCGGCCTCGCCCGGCGTCCCGCAGTTTTCGCCGAGTTTCTTTGGAAGACAGCGATAACCGGGGATACTTGAAAACTATTAATAAGGAGGAGCCAATTAGCAAACCGGCGGACGGCTCGGTGAATGTGACGGGAGATCGGCTCCTCGAGAGCCGACTGTAAACGAGTAGCGGGACCGCGAAGTTTTCGGGCAGCGTTGCTAACTTTGGATCTCGCGGGTTCATCGACTGACGTGATATCGCGAGCAGTTGGCACGATTCAGCGATTCGTCCTCGCGGTTGATGGGACTGTGTTCTGATGCGAGTATAAATATTTAATGGGGACTGAGTAATTTGGGCTGGTTCGATGCGTCGATACGCTAAGCTGAGCTTTGAATGTTACTTGACAATTTTACTGCCACGTCACCCAGATTCGGGTGACACCATTTTTCACAGAAACTTGGACGTTAACACGTTCGTTACCAGCGCTTATTTAGGCGACGGTCTCCTCAATTATATTTCCTTCAATCCAATAAATCTAAACGAAACGTTGGGCAAATGAAACTGAAACGAGTCATGGAGTTCCCGAATATAACGTAGTTTATAATTTCTAATAATAACATCCATAGGATTAAGTTCATTTTCATTATGTAAAATATAGGATTACGGCCGTTAGAAATATGTGACGCTGGTAGCGTGTTAATTTTCTTGGTGACGTATCGAACAAACCGAATTTTGGATGTATGAGATTTTAGTTTCTGGTTAATGAAGAAAACTGTTTCGAGTACATGGGAGTTTTGATACGTTTACGTGGCAGTCAAAGTGTTAATGAATCCATGTATAGAGGTCAGAATTTGAAAACTAATCGTAGAATGGAGAGTATTCGTTCAGAGGAAGATGGAATGTATTATCTCGAAGTCGGTCTAGACGTAGTCCAAAATAATCTAGAAATCTCAAAGATTTCTACTCGCAATAATACAAAAGAGAATGAAGGAAAGATTCCAACAAAAATAATAGCTGGTACACAAAATTTCGCTGATAGTCTAGAAATCTCGAAGATTTCTACTCGCAATAATACAAAAGAGAATGAAGGAAAGATTCCAACAAAAATAATAGCTGATACACAAAATTTCGCTGATAGTCTAGAAATCTCGAAGATATCTACTTGCAATAATATAAAAGAGAACTAGTGAAAAATACCAAAAAGATAATAGCTGATACACAAAATTTCGTTGACCCGGTCAACAAAGTTAGTTCGTTATCAAAAACAGCATCAGAAAAAGGGTCGCAGTTGGCAACGAAGTCGTTTCCTTATCAATTGTCGGATACCCGTGGACGCAAACTTCATCAAAGATCCTGAGCGTATCGATCTCTATTCACCGTCACGGTCAAAGTATCACTACCGAAGCGTTTCGTGTCCCGGTAACAAACCAATTCTCATCGGGCTCGCTGTCACAAGTCCCCGAACCACGTACCGTGAACGGACACGTAGATCACTTTGCTAAGGCCGGATCCGATCCCGTTGTTGGCGCGGCAGAGATAATGGCCCTCGTCCTGCGGCCCGGCGGAGGCGGTCCACAGAGATCCGTTCGGCAATATGGTCAGTCTGCCGTCGGACCCGTCCAGCAGCGGCTGATAGTCGTTGGAGGTTCGACCCTTGGCACGCAGCCACGTGACCCGTGGCGGCGGGAAACCTTTAACAGAGTTTGGCATCGATTCATTGATTAATGGGTAGGATAAAAAAGAATTTATCGTCGAATAATCGGCGATTAATTTAATCGATTAACCGCGGGAGTAATGAGTTAGTGATTAAAGACTGAGTTGGGCATTGATTAATTGGTAGGATAAAAAAGAATTTATAGTCGAAAAATCGGCCATTAATTTAATCTGTTAATTATGTGAATAATGAGTTGGCGATTAAAGACTGAGTTGAGCATCGATTCATTGATTGATTGGCAGGATAAGAAAGAATTTATCGTCGAAAAATCGGCGATTGATTTAATAGATTAACCATGGCAATAACGAGTCACTGGTTAAAGACTTCAAGTTGAGCGTTGATCGACTAATTAATTTTTTGCGATGAAAAATATTGATCGTCGAAAAGTGAAAAATGAATTCAATCGGTTAAAGAAAGGCATAATGAATCACCGATTAAAGACCTTGGATCATAAATGCCTTAACAAGACTCGTTAGAGATTAATTTCATTAGAAAAAAATGTCAATAGTTACTCGTTAATTGCCACTAAGGAAAGAAGCTGAATTTTTTCCCAATCCTGACCTTTCGCCTCGCAGTTGACGATCAACGGGTTGCCAAGTAAAGTGGCTACGTCCTGCGGCTCATAGATCCACTGCGGCGGCACTTTCACCAAAAGTTCGGCGGTGTGGTTCACTCTGGCTGCGCTGTTCGTTGCGACGCAGGTGTATTTGCCACTGTGACGTGACGAAAGTTCCTTGAACACCAAGACGCTGAAGAATTCCGCTACGCTTTCTTCGATCTTCGAGGAAAATAGAAAATGTAACAATTTTGAGCCTTTGATTCGGTATATTGTTCTATTATCGTTGTGATTATACTGTTACATTTGTTCACTTGTTATTATTGTTATTTATTATATTTCTGTTAATAGACAGATTCATTTCAGTGCGCGAAACTAAGTGTTGATTGGAAAAAGAGTGAACAGCGTACGCGTAAGGAAGATGGCAGCTTCTCGCCATCCTTTAGCCAAGAAAAGTCAATCGGAAGATCGCCGGAAGTGACGCTGCAGGTGACTTGAGCGCGTCCGCCTTCCTGGAGGTTCGGAGGGAAATTGAAGGGACTCATGACCGGAGGACCTGGAACAAATTGAAAATTCGCTCAGTTCTACAAAATTCAATTTTCATTTGATTTCTTTTTATTCGAGGTACCATTATTATTCGAATAATAGGTAATAAGGGAGAGGAAGTATCACTTCGAGAAGCATTTCTTTCGAAGTTCGCGTTCCAACAGCTGCAAATTGAAAATTCACTCAATCATTATACAAAATTCAATTTTCATTTGGTTTCTTTTTATTCGAGGTACCATTATTATTCGAATAATAGGTAACAAGGGAGAAGAAGGATCACTTCGAGAAGCATTTCTTTCGAAGTTCGCGTTCCAACAGCTGAAAAATTGAAAATTCCCCCAATCATTGTACAAAATTCGATTTTCGTCTCGCTTGTTTTTCTTCGAGACAGTATTATTATTCGAATAACGGGGAACAATGAAAAAGAAGGAGTATTTCGGGAAGCGTTTCCTTCGTAGACCGCGACCCAACCGTCGCAAGAACCGGAAAACCTATTTCTGGCTGGAGTTCACCGTTTTCCATCCAACGCATTCATCCGCTCGGCTTTTTCCCTTACCGCGCGCCTTGACAAATGAGAGAAACTTAAAAAGTAACGTCACACGAATACTTCCGGGTGCGCAATTTACTTCCTGGCTTCTTCGCGGACGTAAGCAGTCGACCAGCAGCGAACGGATGGAAAAAGAACCGCCTTATTTCTTATTTACAAGGGCATACGTATCCGTACACATATTTACTTACCGTGTTCGCGATCCTGTTACAACGTTCATATAAAATGTACAATACATACGAAGTTTCAGCAAGAAGTACCGTTCCATTTTCATCGTGGAAATATGTATGAAAATGTGTACATTAACGGAATTCAATAACGTTCCCTACATGTTGCGATACAGTTGCTTTTTATTTATTTTATAGAATCGATTCGTTAGCGAATCGTTTTTGGAAAGGCGACTCATATCACAAACTTACGTCTTCCATCCTCAAACGATTGAAATTAGTATGTAGGAGAGAATAAAAAGAAATTCAGAAGAAAATTCTCCAGTTCTCCTAAATTGTGTTGTAATCCTTTGAAACGTCGAAGAAAAGTTGTCGAATGTGAATTGTAAAAAGCAAATTTATTTATGATTACAATATAGATAGCAATAAATTATTCACTGCTGACTACAATTATCAATTACACTATAATGAATAATTACCAATACTTCTGACCATACTTGTCAATATTAATCCCAAATAACACTATAATTAACAATTACCAATACTCTCATGGTAATCTATATTATAATCACCAATACTCACTGCCGACTATAATTATCAATATCAATGCACTACCAATAACACTATAAAGAATAATTACCAATACTTCTGACCATACTTGTCAATATTAATTAACCCTCAATAACACTATAATCAATAATTACCAATACTCGCATGGTAATCTATATTATAATCGCCAATACTCACTGCTAACTGTTAGTCTGATGTCCCTGCTCGCGGTTTCCCCGGACGGTGCGCGCACCATGCACGTGTAAGTCCCTGCGTCGTTAGGATCCACGTTGGCAATGGTAAGGTGGCCCTCGCTGTCAACGCGGTGCCTTATGTCAAGGAGCAGCTCGACACCGCCGCGCGACCATTCGACAGACGTGATAGGGTAGCCGGAGTAAGGGCACGCGATCGTGGTATCGACACCGGCTATCGCGCGTACAGACCCTATCGACCGTATATACGGTGGACCTGAAATAATTAATCGACGTGAAGTGCCTCCCAATAGCTCGTCCATATTAAATGATCCGCGGAATCCGTCGAATCGTTATTTTCCACGGTACAGCCACCGTTAATTGCGTCCGTCGAGGACGAGACCCGCTTTCAGAACGATATTCCATTCACAGAGCTGCACACCGTATAACGTCGAATCGTATCGCCGAATTTTACTGCGCTAATGTAATCAGGTTATTTCGCTACTTTCCGCTGCGAGCATGTTTTTCGTTAATTTCCCGAACTGCCCCGCGTTTAGCAATTAATTTTACCGGCGATTGATACCGCGCATGATTTTCAAATGCAGCCCGAGTGTCTCCGATGGAACGCGGAATGGTAGCATCGAACGCGAGAGAATTAATTGAATACGGAACGAGACGTTCGATTAACGTCGTTAATGATTCAGCGCATTACGAACTTCTTCGGAGTTACGTCGGAGAATACTTCACTGTCCGTAATTCACGAGGCGGAAAAGAATTCCGTAGAATTTATTGATTAATTCGCGAATCAAATATTCATAACGGGAAAATAAATGGCAGTGTTTCAATTCCTCCGTTAGGAAACGCGATCTCAATTCTACAGCCTGTAACTTCAGATTATTCACAGAATAAACGAAACAAACTGAAATCTATATCGTTACAAATACTTACTAATAAAAATCCCACATTGAGCTCAGAAAAATCTAAACCTCACTTATCAGACTATCAGCAAACCTATAATTCCAATTCTAGAACCCCGAAGCTTCAAATGATTATTTCCAGAATAACTTACGCAAACTACATTACAAGAAATCACCAGTAAAACCAACGAATGGAATGATAATCGAATGAACCGGTTCCTCGATCGCATTTTACTCCCAAGAACGAAGGTTACCGTAGATGTTCAGCCTCGCTTTGTGCTCGACGGTGGCCAGCGTATTGGACGCGACGCACGCGTACAGTCCGCCATCTTCGGCGCCGGCCGACGATATGTTCAAATGACTGATCACGTCGCCGGACTGATCGACGTACTGTCCTATCGCGTACCTGCGTGGACATTGTTTGCGGTTAAGAAGCGGAATATTGATCGATGCGATCTAGATGCGCACCTGTGCCCGGCGGCGATCTCGCTCAGCGGTTCTCCGTCGAGGAGCCAGGTGAACGACGGCGGCGGTGATCCAGTTGCGGAGCATCGCAGGGACACCGGCGGCCCCGGGCGCAGCGCCTGCTCGATGAACGTGTACTGCAGCTCCGGCACAGTGTCTGCGATGATTGAACAATGATCGATCACAGTCCCGTAATTGTTCCTCGCGGAGAGCTCCTCGAAACAGTCCGCCAATCACGGGATTTGGAATTTCGGATATTTGCTTGTAGGATATTATACCCTGATACTTGCCCTTTATTATCCGGGGTCTACCGTGGCTTTTGATGTTCGAAGTACTTGGCGCAAAGCGCTTGGGGAGATCGACGCAGGCAGCGTTCAGGGGATTTGGAATTTGGATAAAGTGTTCGGAAGATTTCTGGGATTTCGATGCTCGAGGTACTCGTTTAGAGATTGGGATCGTTTGATCGGTTGCATCAAAATTGTAAAATTTCGTATTTAACTCTTTACTCGAAGCTTTTCTCGCTGACATTACCAGCAACTCGAAGTAATTTTAATAGAAAAAGCGTGTTCATATAAATAAGTAATACACGCATGAAAAGAAAAGTCGTAGATGTATCTTACTGTTTTCTATAGATTGTAGATGTAAATGTTATAATATATTTAATAAGAAAATTTTACAGTTTGTAATGACAAATTTTAAATGGCTCTGCAACGGAGCTCCGAGTGCAAAGGGTTAACATTAAGTATTGAGTAATCTGTCGATACAAGAAACGTGGAAATAAAATACCAATGTTCATTATTTTGTGAATGGATCCCTCGTTAAGTTAGTTTAAAAGAATGTCATCTGTGTTTCATAGAAATAAATTGAATATTTCTAGTGATCAATTTTTGGAGTGCAAAGGGTTAATTGTCGTTGAAGTGTTTGAGTCTTGGAGCTTTTAAAGATGATTTAGATGTCTGATGTTTCCGGTTAATTAACGCTGAAACTACCGGACGGGTCGAAATGATTCACGATTTCTTCCGTATGTAATGATTAAAAAGATAGATGTTTCTCTGAGAAATTATTAAAGAAACTGATTTAGCGATACGCAAACTGAATTGTAAATCAGTTGAAGTCACGATAGATGTATTTTCGAAGTTTCTACGGAGGAATTTCGAAAAGCAGATTTAACTGATCGGTAGTTTTAGTGTTAAAAATATTAGACTTTTAATATTAGCTTCAACTCGATACTCGAGCCTTGGAATCACTGAAGATGATTTAAACGTTCGCTGTTTCTGAATTGAATGTCATTTTTCGTTACATCTATACAAGTCTCAAATTTCTCAAGATCTTAGTTCAAATGTTCGTCGCTCCAAATTCCGGTGACTTTAATAACGCCTCTCAATTTCATATTCAAATCCCAAAGACTTCGCAATAAATATTTCATCGAAATTTAGGTCAACTGAATATCATGTAAGTCAACGCTCGAACATTCTACATCCACTTGCGTTTCCTCTCGAAATGCCTCAAATCCACTCCGAGCGTTACAAATTCGATAAGAAACGATCTTAATTCTCAATCTAACTTCCTATACGTTTTATTCGAACATTCCGTAATCCGATGAGAAGTCGAGCGTCACGTTAAACTGTGTTCGAAGCAAGTTGTTTCAGATTTCTGAGTGAAAAACCGGGGATCCGTTCGATGAAAAACGATCGGGTGGTTTGCAGGACGTAATAACGTGATAATTAGCGGCAGCAGTACCTCCGAGTTTCAATTCCGCAGTGGCCTGCGCGTTCTCCTTGTCGCTTCTGACGAGGCACTGATACATCCCCTTGTCCTTTCGGCCGACCGAGCCTATCACGAGCACCAGAGGAGCCAGCAATCTGATCCTCGTGTCCTGCGTGGTCAATACCGGCACACCATCGTGCAACCACTCGACGCTCTCGACCGGATAACCCTCCACTGTGCAATTCATAGTGGCGGACTCGCCGGAATTGATGGTCTGTAAATAACCGGGAAACGGTTAACGATTCGTGCTCGAAAGTTAATGCCCGTGTCACGATTTACGCGGCCACTTCTTCCCCGCCCCGCCGTCGGCCGCGTCTGTTGCTCCCCGTTTGCCCGATTTCATTTGGCAACCAACGGTCAAGATTAACGGGGACTGGAGAAGATTTTCCGAAATGCACGGGCTGCTGCGGAAGTTGCAACAAGTACGAGGAACGTTACGGATAAGCTTGAACTAATGGATTTATCGTTTCTCGAACTACTCTGCTGCGATACTAATGTTTTCCATTGTGTTGCGACGGTAGTTTTCGATCTTACCGTGAAGGTGTGTATCTCTTTACGATGATAATAATTGAATTTCGAAGATTTGATGGTGACCTGACCAAGACCTGTGTAAGATTCCATCGTGTTGTCTGGGAATTTGAATTGTGAGCTTCGATCTAAGCGAGACTGACCGAGGTTTCATTGACGAAGGTGTTTCAGTTTATGAATAATTAGCGATCGTTAGAATTATGAAATTTTTTGGTTCTTTTGGGAAGTTTCTGAATGATTGTAACTCGAGAATTTTCTGGGACAGGCTTCGTGAGTTGATACCTTACGATCGAATGCCGACAAAATGGCGACTTCGTTTGGTATCTAAAATCTGCGAATGATTTAATTATTCAAATAAAGAACGTTCTTATTTTCTAATATTCATGATGCTTCGATGTATAATTGTGTTTTTATGTGTTAAACAAATTCTCGTTTGCGGAAGGTTAAAGGTCGGGCGAATGTTATTTCGGGGATTTCGATGGCATCGATGGTATCGCGGGATATGCACGTCGTGATAATGAAGATGTATGTTCTTGATGGGGTGGGATTTGATTAGATTGTACTGTAAGTTTCAGCGATGGCCTCGTTAGAACAGCTGTCGATATTGCCGATGGATTTTCTTTTGAACTACCGTTAGCAGCGGAAGCGTATTACATTATGATAATGTAGTAATTACAAGCACTTACTAAATTGTATTTCATACAATTTTGCTAAAGTAACAAGTAAGGTAAAGTTTAATAATAACGTAGTAATCATAGTCACTTTCTATATCATGCACCATATCGAATGCCGACAAAATGGCGACTTGGTTTGGTATCTAAAATCTGCGAATGATTTAATTATTCAAATAAAGAGGGATTAATATGTTTTCTTATTTTCTAGTATTCATAATGCTTCGATGTATAATTGTGTTTTTTTTTAATATCATAAGAAAGTAAGAATTTTATATAATATCTCTTTCATCGCGATCGTTCGAACTTTCGAAGTTCAGTCTAACAGAACGCGGCTGCGGATTATTGCATGTAACAACTTCTGATTTCGTGGGGCGGGAACGTTGACGACGATTCGACAGATTCGTACCTGTACACGGGGTTGTATCCGCGCGTTAAGTTTCGACGTGACCGACAGGTGTGTTTCCGCCCGTTGCTCGCCGACCTGATTGCTAGCTCGGCAAATGTACCTTCCTGCGTCCTGGGCGTCCACGCGACGAATTTGCATCAAATCGCCCCAAAGTTGGATACGTTGGCCAAACGATTCCACCGATATCGACTGCCCTGTAACAGCGCACACGTAAATGCATACAATTCCCGTTCGTAAGTCACTGTACACCGTTATCATCGGCAGGTTCGAAATAAGAACGATCAATCCAATGAAATTCGGCGAATTGTGGAGTTTATTAACACGTTGACTGCCACGTCAGTTAGCGATGACCGGAGCTCCTAAATTACTTGACTATAATTAGAATTTGTGAAACATTTCATAGCGTAAGTTACTAGATAATGGTGTTCCTCTTTATCTTTGTTAGAAAAGAATAAGCGATACGTGAAACTCTGAAGGTTTTCGTAACAGCCAACGTGTTAACACGTTAAGCGCCATGTTATTCACCGATCAATCGTGACATAGAGGTAAGCAATGTCGAATGAAAATGTTTAATAACGTAACTAAGTTGATAAGAGTGTTGATCAAGGATTGTAACATCAAATGATTAATAATTGTTCCTACTTCTCTTTGCTGCAAAAGAATAACCCTACAGAAAAGCGTTTAACGTGTTAATTGATCAGTGAAAATAAGAGTGAAGTCAGATGTTTCCTATGTGCAAAATAAAGTAGTTCTAGAAAATTCACGGCGTTGTGTCGGGAGAATTTGAAACAATCAGTGTATAATTAAAAAATGGAGATGTTCATTTGATATCTAAAAGTTTCAGATTTCAAACTTCGAATTCCAAATTACACAGCTGTCGCTGAATTCAAAGAGATTTTCTTTGTAAAGCGAACGGGGTACGAAAGTAAAGCATATTTTTAAATTGTATCTAATATTCTGTAATGAACAGCTAAGATTGAGGATCAAAGTATCTTTTTCCACGTAACACCCTCGAGTTTGCTTTATGATTATGTCGGACCACCGGTGTTCACGGGACAATGTGCGAACGATGTCGATATCACGTGATCGTGTTGGATAATGGAATCTACAGTGTGTTCGGGATTAGACAGTAAACAATCCCCTAGTTAAACCAACCGTTAACATCGCGATACCAGGTAAATTGCGGGGGCGGGTTTCCTTGGGCAGAGCAAGTGAGGTGAACGTCCGAACCGCTTTCCGCAGAAATGGCGATCTGGGACCTTTGCATTAGCCTCGGTGGCATGGAGCCGCTCGGTTCTGTGAATCACACCGTGAATATTAAAAATTAATACTCCCCGTCCGGTATTAATTAGTTATCTTCCGTCCCAGCGAAACACTGGCCGAACATCCCCGTTCCTAGAATATTGAAATTTTCATTCGAATCTGTTCAAACTACTCAATTCTCTTCGATCTATATAACCGTATGATTTACCACATTACTTTCATAAACAATTTTTCTATATTTTCAGTTATAATTATAGGTTTATACTACTTTCTATTGATTTCGTTTACAATAATTTAATAAGGTATGAATTATTTAGTAATGTGATGGTAATAGATTAAATCAAATTAACTGTAATAACTAAATTAATGGTAATCATTAAATTAACGGTACTAATTAAAGCAATGGTAATAGATTAGACAGTATAATAACACGAGTCCTGATTCAATATTCATTACATCGAATTATAAATATTTCTCGCGGAGGAAAGACAGTAACACTGTTTAACGAAACGTTAGATCGAATGAATAAGTATATCAAGGATAAATCGAAACGACGTGCCTGTCACTGGCAGCGTTGCAGGCTCGCTTCTTCTTCTTTCTCCGGTCAACGTGTGAAGTGTCAAGCACGAGTAGGTGGCCTTCGCGTCCTCTTGTCTGGCAGCTCTGATATGAAGATCGCCCTGCGACGTGACTACGAACCTCCCACCTGAAACCATATTATCGCGAGATAAGAGATATTCGAAGAAGTTATGTCACTTTGACCGCAACAATCCAAGTAAATCCCTTTTGTCGCTGCTTCTTCAAACATAAACTTAAATCAAACTGTAAACTAAAATTCCCAACAAACCTCAAAGAAACCCAATAAATTCAAGACACAATTATCCACCTAACACCTTCAACACATCAAGCAAAAAATTTCCATTGCATATACAAAAATGTTCCAATTTCAATGATTCCATCACAACTCACTTCAAACTGTTAAATCAATCTGTAAACTAAAATTCCCAACAAACTTCGATGAAACCCCATAAATTCAAGACACAATTATCCACCTAATACCTTCAACACACAAAGTAAACAATTTCCATTGCATTTACAAAAATATTCCAATTTCAACGGTTCCATTATAGCTCACTTCAAACTGTTGAATCAAACTGTAAACTAAAATTCCCAGCAACCTTCAATGAAACCCCACAAAATTCGGGACACAACCAGTATCCACCTAATACCTTCAACACATGAAGTACATCACACACTTCAGCTCACTTCAGATACATGTAACTGTACGAAATAATCCATTTCCGGTCGATTCAAGAATCCAGCATGATTCCACTGTCAGACGAAGCTAATAATAGGAAACGAATGTTGACTAGATCCCGACGTATTCACGTTACGGTATTAAAATCATACGAGCAGATCAGAGACAGGCTCTTCATCCTTAAGCTCTTGATCCGTCTAACGTGGATCAGATCTTCTCCCGCCAGTATCCACCCTCTAATCGAGAAAGAGGCTTTCAGTGCGATGCACAGGGAGCACGAGAACGAGAAACAGATTTTTCTTCGGTGAATGGGGATAGAGGAAGACGGAGCCAGACGAAAAGCTGTTTCAATTGAAAAACAAAAGCGAAAATACCGGATCCTCCCGGAGCCCTGGAAAATATCACGGACGAGGCCGCCGTATATACCCCCAATATTTTCTCTCCGGGGCTCCGGGATACGCGGCAGCGAAAGGTTATGCAAAATCCTCGGCATCTGTCGATGAAATCCCGCTCTCGAATCACCGACGTACGTACCGTCAGGCGTGAAATTTTCAATTTAGACGAGCCAACGGCCGGACCTCTCCGGTCCGGCCAGTCAGCTAGCCAGCCAGCCAGTCAGCCCGTCCGATGGAGATTCTTTCGCATCGCGGAGCGTATCTCGAGACCGTGGAATGGCCCACGTGACCGATTTATCCCGGCCAAATATATTTTTTTTTCCCCTCGTCGGACCGTAGATAACTGGCTTTTAGTCGTTCGAATCTCGTTTAACCCTCGTTGCGCTGACGGCTCAACGATCTCGCGACGGCCGGGTCAATATTGACCCGTGCTTATACTCCCCTCCGTTCGCTTCGTGGGATTTCCTTTGTGTCGCGAGGTCACTTTGTCCGGTTGTCTTCGATTCAATGTGATTTATCTCAATTTTTGATTTGTCTAATTGAATTTGTTTGAGGTCGAGGAAAGGTATCACGGTTGAATTGTTATATATGACCGGTATTGATGTTTAGATTTTGGGATGAGTGGTAGTTGGGGAATTAGATTTAGTTTGTTATTGGTTAATTTATGTATTGTTAACGCTAGATTTACTGACGTTTGCTGTACAGTTCGTTCTATTGTTCTTAGAGACATTGTTATCCGTTCGTTTGGATAGTAGAAATTAGAGATTTAAGAGTAGACGATTAGGATACGCGTTTGCGTAATTGCGTTAATAAAAGTCGACTCAAAGATTTACCAAATAAAGCTTATAAAATTCAATACAAGTCGAATTGACTCGCTCCGCGAATCTGGCGTTAACACTGAAACCAACGAGAAAACCGGTTCAGGCGTAGAGGAATATTTCGAACGCATAATCAAAGGGAATCGGGGAACGACGTGCCCGCTTACGGTGGCGTTTCCACGTTGTCCCCGTGAAATCCCGAATAGCCGCGAAATTTCAAACGCGCCGGGCGACAACGGGCGGCGGGGTTAAGCTCGAACAACGACGGAGCAGAAATGAAAGATGAATATCCATCAGAGAAAGAAGCGACCGGTTCACAAAGCCAACAATATCCGAGCGGCTGTCACCTGCAATACGTTAAGTACACGTCTGTCTTTTCAAGCAGCGACGAGGAGCGCGATCTGTCGAAAGAATGGGCTCGCGTGCCTCGACAGAACTCGCCGTGTTCGCTCGAACGCTTTCATTACCGGGGGAAAACGGGGACGGATGTGCCTCGCGCTTTAAGCCCCGTACACACGCAGAGACATGTAGCGGGGCGTCGCCTCTCAATGTTCACCATAAACGTTGATATATGTATTACAATTCATCGAGGCAGCAATCGGAATTCAACGTAACTCGAACGAGAAGAGTCTGTATTCTTGAAATTATTCGATATTTCTGAAATTTAGGTTTTCCGAATTTTATTCGGTAGACGATAAGAAGATAATAAAGTAGAGAACTGATTGCTAAGTTCATTCGTCTTCAGCGGTAATAAGTTAAATAACATTCCTTCCGTACGAAATATTTCAAGCTCGAAACTTCTTGCTTCCCTCGCGGACGCTCTGCGATTTATAACATCCACTTCGATCCAACCGAAAATCCGAGCACATGCATCGCGGCGTGTCTCGACGTGTGCAAGAAGCTTTACGTTTCAGTCAGGCCGGCGTTCCGATGTCGGTGAACTTCGTTCCCCGCAGGACGGAGGGAAAGAACACACGCGCGCTGTTTATCGATCTTTCCTTCAAGTTTTTCGCCTGCCACCCCCCGTCCCGCCGCCGTCTTTGTCGCCTTTCTTGCCGGCCCTGTGTCCCTTATCTCGCGAAAGACACATTTTCATTATCGCGACGGTGTGACTTCTGTCGCAACGACACGGCCATTGTCTGCGGGACGAGCGAAACAACGCGATCCATTTGCTGGCACTTTCCTGATCGAGGATCGCGTCCTCGCGCCGGCCAACCCCGCGAAAAACTAGCGTCGGGCTGTCTGCGGACGGGACTCTTTTCCGACGACGTTTCGGCGGTTTCTTTTGGCGCAGTGAGCGGTAAATAGGAGACGCCGGGAATTTCATGCTTCTTTGGGTAATTTTGTATGTATTAATGTATATATTCTTGTAAATTGTATTGTAAATATTACTGTAAATATTACTATAAATATTGGTATGAATAGTATTGCAAATATTTTTCTAAATAAAGCTGTAAATATTGCAATAAATATTACTATAAATATTGATATGAATAGTATTGCAAATATTTTTCTAAATAGAACTGTAAATATTGCAATAAATATTACTATAAATATTGATATGAATAGTATTGCAAATATTTTTCTAAATAAAACTATAAATATTGCAATAAATATTACTATAAATATTGATATGAATAGTATTGCAAATATTTTTCTAAATAAAACTGCAAATATTGCAATAAATATTACTATAAATATTGATATGAATAGTATTGCAAATATTTTTCTAAATAAAACTGTAAATATTGCACTAAATATTACAATAAACATTACTACAAATAATACTATAAACATTATTACAAACAAAATAGTAGCTACCGCCGTATTACCACAAATATTATTCAAAATACTACTATGAACATTCCCACAAACATTCCCGCAGGCATCGATACAAGCGCACACTAATATAAACAATAGTATCCCACGACCGATTCAAAGCTTAAATCCCATAGCCGCGAACTAGGCAAGCTCAATTATCCAAATTGCTCGATTATCCTGATAACTCAATATTCCCAGCCACCCAGGTCTCAATTGCTCAAAGCAATTAACTTTCCACTACGATTCCGACCAATCAAATCCCATCTGCATTGAATCTTTCCTAACGCCGGAGTATACTCAAAATTATTGTCCCCCTTTTCCGGAGTGCTCTCGTAATATTCGAAGCTATCCAGTTAAGCACGGACCTACTTGCAACACGCTCCGTTCCATCCCTCTGCTCCCGATACGTGTCCGCGATTCCCGTCGATCGATGAACGTCGATCGCGGGCACAATGACGTCGGGGAGCGGAGCAATAAACGAAAACCGCCGCGGCCTCGGGCGTGCCGCAGCCGGTAGAACGAACGGAACACGCGCGTGCCGGGAACGATCGAGAGAATTACCGATAAATCTTCCTTTGAAATTTTCGCGAAAGCTTGCCCCCGATCAACGATCAACGCGACCTGACCCGATCGCGTTTTGTTCGCGTCCGCGCGCTCCCCTTTCTCCCGGTTACCGTGCGAACGAAAGGGAGAAATGAAGGGTTGCATTTATATTCGCGCGGCACCTCGATCGACCCCTTGACACATATATAACTATTATAACTTTCGACGACCTTTCGTTCGCAAGCGTACGATCTGCCGATCGCCGATCACCGGTGACCCCCGACCGAATCGAATTACTATAATTCACGCGGTTAGACGATGATTATTTAACGCGTTGAATGCCATGGGGGTCACCGGTGACCCCAACCACATCGAATTATTATAATTCACTCAATGAAACGATGATTATCCGAGAACATTTCTATATTACAAATAATGCCACCTAATGCGGTGCGATTCTGCTAGATCAACGTGCAATAATGATAGTGCAATTCATACAAATGGACTTAATATTATATTTTTCCATTCTATGTTTCATTTCCTTTGACTTTGTTAACTGTGGAGACCTTATTTGAAATGATTGAGAGCCTGATGTTTGGGAGTTGTTTTTTTAAACGAGCAACTAAGAAGTTGGTTCATGTTATTTATAACCTAATTTAGCTTTTCTAACTTCAGAGAGTTGATTTTCATTGACCTTTTCAAGATGAAAACGAATATCAATTTTTCAAGAAACAATGGAATAAAATACAATAAACGTCTGCAGACCTAGAGTTAGAGTCAACAGTTTCGAGCTGAGAATTGCCACTCAATTTCCCGTTACCTTCCGCTGTGTTTCAATATCACGTATCCCAAAATGCAATTAACATAATGC